AGGCGGGTCTCAAATCCACGGGCTCAGGCAATCCACTCACCTCAGCCTCCCAAAGGCGTGGGATTACAGGCTGAGCCACCGAGCCTGGCTTGTTTCATAGATGAATTAACTCTTTTTTAGTTCTTGTCTCTGCATAGTTTTTTCTTTAAAGTTACTTTTTTTCTATTTTTTCAGAAGGTTTTCCTTGTGTTTGTAAAGTCTGGTTAACTACTCATGATTAAAAATGACTGGAAAGCGTATATATTTGCATGGTGGGCATATGGTAGACTCCTGACTAGAGTGTTGGCTGATGTGTGTGTGTGTGTGTGTGTGTGTGTGTGTGTCTTAGTGATTATAGATAGACCCTTGGGGAGACAGTATCAATATTTTTAGATCTTTTCTCTCGGGCTTGCCAAATTCTGTAGAAAAAGATGTTTTCCTCTTGGAATGTATAGGGTTGGCTGCTATCCTCTAGGAGCCTTTGTGCAGGCAAAGAGGATTTTGGATGGGATGGGTTTCAGCGATCTGTGTGTATGAGTATTTACTTGCCTGTTTATTCCTTCAGTTGTCAGTATAATTCCACCCTCACATGTACCTATTGAGTTCCTAGACGTTTTATTTCACTCCCAGAGATTTATACATCTAGTCTTCATGGGGTGATACAGGGGCAGTTGGAATGATGGTCTGGGAGTCTGTGACTTTTCAGACCCATTTTCATCCCTATCTCCGATGGAGTCTGGTACTGCCAATTCCTGAGTCTTGGGTGTCAATAGAGCTGCTTCTCAGCTTTCCATATGTCTACCTTCAAATTCAGGTTTTCTTGATTCTACTAAGACAATCCTTTGTAGCATCTATAGTCTTCAGTTTTTACCATCTACTTTCTTGCTGTGTATCCTTCAGGTTTATGATTTTTCCTTGTTTTTATTTTATTTTTATTTCTTATTTTTAGACACTGAGTCTTGTGTTGTCATCCAGGCTAGAGTGCAATGGTAGGATCCTAACTCACTGCTGCTTTGAACTCCAGGGCTCAAGCAGTCTTCCTGCCTCAGCCTCTCAAGTTGCTGAGACTATACAGCATGTGCCATCATGCCTGGCTAATTTTTTAAAAAATTAAGGTTTTGCTGTGTTGCCCAAGCTGATCTTGATCTCCTGGCCTCAAGCAATCCTTCTGCCTCAGCTTCCTGAGTTGCTGGGATTTCGGACATGAGCCCCTGTGCCTGGCTTCTGTTTTTGTTTTAATTCCTCTGTTGCTTTTTTTCTTTTAGTAGGGTTTGAGTGGGATCAGAGGTAAATGTGTGTGTTTAAATCTACCGTTTTTAACTGTGCTTCATTCTTTTTTTTTTGAGTTTTTTTTTTGAGTTGGAGTCTCAGCTCTGTCGCCCAGTCTCCGCTCTGTCTGCTGGGCTCCGGTGATCCTTCCGCCTCAGCCTTCCAAGTAGCCGGAATTACAGGCATGCGCTACCATGCCTGGCTGATTTTTTGATTTATTGTAGA